TTAAGAGCACTTTGTTTATCCATTTGTTAAAGTAGGTTTATCTGTTTGCATATGTTTTGCCTTCAGACAAGGCCTGATCCTGGCCAGAAAGGCACTGCTGCTCTCTTGTGGTGTTTAGAGCGCAGCACATACGCACTTACTGACTGAAGGCAATCCAGCCAGGCTCATCTTTGGGATTGCGGAGAAAATAAGTGACCTCTGGGAAGGCGGAATGAGTTAGCATCCCAGTTTTTAAAAAGAGGAAAAGAAAGTCTTACGTGACTTACTAAATCAGATGTTCTCCAGTGGTACACTTTGGGAAGGACTAGGACAACGAGCTGTTCAGAAAGCATTTTAGAGAAAAATGAAAAGGCATTTCAGCACCTGCCTGCTGTGACCCATGCCTTGGGGGTGTGTGTGTGCTGAGACAAGAGGGTAAAAGGCGTGTTCCCTACTTTTGAATTGTTTAATGAAGAGCCTCTGCCACATACCATTTTGCTCGAATGTTGTAATGCTCAAGTAGGTAGAATGGGAGTTCAGGGTATTCAGCGGCCTAGTTGAGTTTTCCTCTTGGCTGTCTTTTTTCTTTTTTTTTTGAATCATTTTATTGGAGGCTCATACAGCTCATCACAATCCATGCATACATCCATTGTGTGTCAAGCACATTTGTACATTTGTTGCCCTCATCATTCTTAAAACATTTGCTTTCTACTTGAGCCCTTGGTATCAGCTTCTCATTTTTACCCCCTCCCTCCCCTCCTCTTGGCTGCCTTAAAGGTGTCTTGTACTACATTTTCCGAAATGGAGCTTATATGACTTTTGTCCTTTACAATTTCTTCTTTCATTTCAGCTTAAATGCCACACATTTGCTCAAACCAGATGATCTTGGAGTTACTCCTGTTACTGCAGTAGAAGAATGAGGGCTTTTTGGTCAGGAGAGTTCGTGTCTGGAGGACATGATGACCAAATACATCCAAATCTTGCCTGATTTGAGTGCTTTCCTATGCCGTCTGCGGCTGAAGTTATTTGGGTACATACTGGCTTAGGCTAAGGAAGCTGTGCAAAGAAATAACTTGTTGTGAGGTGCTGTTGAGTTTGTCCCAACTCATAACGACCCTATGTACAACAGAACGCAACACTGTCCAGTGCTGTGCCACCTCCACAGTCGTATTTATGTTTGAGCTCCTGATGCAGCCACTGTGTCATCTACCTTGTCGAAGGTCTTCCTCTTTTTCGCTCCCTGCTACTCTACCAAGCATGATGTCCTTTTCCAAAGAAATAGCTAAATAGTAAAAAATAATGTCCAGTAAAAATATTTGCATATTAATAAGTTTGACAAGAGAACTCTTGAGTATTTTAAATACAATTTGAGCCCTCCTAGTTGGAAATATCATGGTGTCTTGTAGTCATAAGACCCTACCTAGATATGAAGCTTGGTTTTGTTGGTTGTGTTTCTGAACAAGCTGTTTAACCCCTTAACTTTATTGTTTGAATTTAGTATATTGGGGCTATTGTAATGATTAAGGAGCACTTCTGGCGTAGTGGTTACAGTGCTTGGCTGCTAACCTAAAGGTTGGCAGTTCAAACCTACCAGTCCCTTCTTGGGAGAGAGACAAGGCACTATGTCCTTCTGTAAAGATTTACAGCATTGGAAATCCACAAGGACAGTTCTCTGTCCTCTAGTGTTGCTATGAATTGGAGACACCTTGATGGCAATGGGTTTGGTTTTCAGTGTTGTGAAGATGAAACGACATGTGAAAAAAGTCCAGTCTCAGCTCTCAACAAATGTTCGTTCCACGCCTTCAGGAAAGAGACCATCTGAACATGGGGAAGGTTCCTGAAGGTTGGACCATTGTTCTGCGGGCCTGTTGTCTCTGCGTGGTGGTCTCAGTGACCTCCAAGCCCAAGAAAGAAGTGGAAGGAAAGCACTAGATGGTAGTCTGTGTGTATTGGAGAAACCTGGGCTCCCTGACAATTGGTGACTCCCGTTCTCAAGTATGAAATAAAACAAAACGAGCCTCTAACATTTTCACATACCAGCTAGAAAAACGCAAGACTCCTAACGCCCTGTCAAAGGACTCGGAAGCCAAACTGAAATGACTTGAAGAGGCCCCTCCCAGCCAAAGATGAGCCAGTGTGAGCATTGTTGAGAGTAATTGCCGCGCCCTGAAACGCCTTAATGAGAGTGTACTACCCTAGGAGGATGCTAGTGAACCAAATCACAGTTTTGAAAGCAAATAAATGAGGGTTGGGGTTGAAGTATCCACGCTTTTTTTCTTTATTTTCTATGAACTGTGCCAGTGTGTAACAATACCAAGTCGTATTTGAAAATAGTTTGTTTCAGATGTACTCCAGCTGACGCATAAGGAATGATAGAGTAAAATTACTTTGCAACTTTATTAGACTTGGAGATTAAAGTATTGGTCATCATTAGCTGGTAGCATCATCATGTTTCCTGCTGGAGCAAGGCACCACTACATAGGAAGTTGTCTTGCCAGGAAACAACCCAAATCTGATGAAGCCTGGCAGCCAATCAGTTTACATGACATAGGGCAGAGGCACTTAACCTGTTACTCACCAACAAACTATTTGTTGGTGATGCAACCAACAAAGTCCATGTTTAAACTTGTAAGAAAAGGCCCTTTATAAGCAAATGTGGTGAAGAAAGCTGATGGTGCCCAGCTATCAAAAGATATAGCATCTGGGGTCATGATGGTAAACAAGCGGCCATCTAGCTGAGAGGCAACAAAGCCCGCATGGAAGAAGCACACCAGCCTGTGTGATCACGAGTTGTCAAAGGGATCAGGTATCAGGCATCAAAGAACAAAAAATCCTATAACAAAAAATCCTATCATTGTGAATGAGCGGGGAGTGCTGAGTAGAGACCCAAAGCCCATCTGTACATCTGGACATCCCTTATAGAATGGTCTGGGGGAGGAGATGAACTAGTCAGGGTGCAGTATAGCACCGATGAAACATATAACCTTCCTCTACTTCTTTAATGCTTCCTTCCCCCCACTATCATGATCCAAATTCTACCTTACAAATCCGGCTAGACTAGAGGATGTATAGTACAGATAAGAACTGGAAACAGGGAATCCAGGACAGATAAACCCCTCAGGACGAATAATGACTGCGATACCGGGAGGGTGGAGGGAAGGTGGGGGTAGAAAGGGGGAACTGATCACAAGGATCTCCACATAACCCCCTCCCTGGGGGACGGACAAGAGAAAAGTTGGTGAAGGGAGACATCAGACTGTGTAAGACATGAAAAAATAATAGTTTAAAAATTATCAAGGGTCCGTGAGGGAAGGGGGCAGGGAGGGAGGGGAAAAATGAGCTGATACCAAGAACTCAAATAGTATATGTTTTGAGAATCATGATGGCAACAAACGTGCTTTACATAATGGATGCATGTATGGATTGTGATAAGAGTCGTATGAACCCCCAATAAAATGATTTAAAGAAAAGGCCTTTTAAAGGAACATTCTAAAATATCTACTGATAAAATGACAGACTCACGATTTCCTTCAAAAGAACATGAAAGCAGGCTACCTGGCATTGTGGGAGGAGCAGGCTCAGCCATGGTTTGCTAGTTTGGGGTTGAGTAATAGGTACATGGATGGTGCTTTTATTGATGTCCAAAATTGTCCATTGTAACAAGTCCAAGTAGAGGGAGAAGCTGAAAACACAGAGTAAAAAGTAGTCTATAGATCTACAGTCTCACCAATGTAACTTTTAAAAAGTATTTCCTACTTTTTACATGTCCGATAGTTACAGTACATGTAATATTTTAGCCATTTTTGAACAGTGTGCAAGTATTTAGTATGCTTCCACTTGACCTTCACAAAAGTGTTTATAGTAATTTTAGTGAGACATTACCCAGCTTTTGCTTTTATGAGTAAAGCTTAGCAACTTGAGGCATCAATTGAATGGCTTCCGGTGCGTTTCTCCGTGGTCTTGGAGCTCCCTTGGAGCTAGTTGATCTCGGTTACCGTGTTGACCCTCAGAGGTAGTTCCTAGGTTATTAGCTGCTCTTAGCATTCTTCTGCTTGATTTCGACAGAGCTGAAGTAGAATCTTGAGGGGGTTTTTTTGCTGAAGTTTTTTTCTTATCTTTTCAAATAAGAGACTTAAAAACATTTTAAAGTTAAACAGAACCATCCCCTTTTCCTCAGTTCCTTTTCTGAGGTGATTTTAGTGGTTTTGCGTATATGTTTTTTCTCCTTTTCTTAGTAGTCCACATGATCGTTTATTTTTTTCTTCTACTTTTAATTTCCAGCTCAAAGTACTGTTATTGAAATGTATGTTGAAATGTTATAGGCATGTTAAATGTAAATAACATTAAGCACCCATGTATCCGTCACGAGGCTGGAAACCCTTACATGATTACTACGCTCGCTCTGTAAACCCTCCTCTAGCTGCCCTCTCCGCTCCCGTTGAGAACCCACTGTGTTCTGAGGTGGTGCTCGTCCGTGCCATGCTGAGTTTCACGCTTTCACTATGTTTCTGTTCTGTGTCCATAATTGTATAAGCCTATTTGCAGCTCTGTGCATTTTGTATACAACATTCTGTATAATATGTGTCTATAGCTTACTTTTGTGGATCCTGTTTTATTAGGTATTTTATTCGACACTGTCAAGTTATTCTTTGAAGTGATTATTCCATTGTATAATCCCACAGATACTACTTGAGAGTTTTCATTGTCTCAGGTTGTAAAACTTACCTTAACCGCCTTACTTTCATGCATGGGCAAGGGTGTTTGCCCTGTCTTCTCAACTCCCATGGCTGTCAGAGAGGGGCCTTCATTGCCCTTTACATCACGACTTGCCCTGTAGTTGTTTACTGTGTTGCAGGGAAATGCTCTTGAGCTTCGGTGCCAGCAGATTGCATTACAGCGAAGGGCGATGGTAGCCGGAGTGGAACAAGATTTCTTTTTGCTCTCCAGTGTTTTCCTGAGTGTGACAGAGACACGAGAGCCCTCTGGACGCCCCTACTTATCCTCTGTGTCTCTTCCTCTAGGCTCCGAGCTCTGTCCAGTGGTGGGAGTATCACATCCCCTCCTCTCTCGCCAGCGTTGCCTAAGTATAAATTAGCAGACTATCGTTACGGCAGAGAAGAAATGTTAGCACTTTTCCTTAAAGACAACAAGGTAAGGAGACGGGAGACAAGCTCAGAAATGTGATTGAACACTTGGGGTATGTATATGGTGGAGAGTGGAATTTATACCTTTCCTGGGAGAGAGAAGTGTTTGATTCTCGGCCAGTGCACCTCTTACCTGGCCACCATCCCTTCTTCATCTGTGGAGGCTTGGGTGTGGCTGTGATGTTGGACAGGTCTCCAGACTAAATGGACTAAGAAGAAAGGCTTGTTGCTCTGTGTCTGAGAGAGAGCCTGTGCCAACCTTTTAGTTCACAAGGGCTTAGTCTGACTGGTCATGAGACATCGCAGGACCAGGCAGTATTTGATTCCGGTGTAGCTGCTATTCATGGATCAGCCCATGCCGTTTCTCTCTACCCTGCTTTGAACCCTGCTGTGGCTTGCCAGCTTTTCTCAGGTTTGCACTGTGCGTTTTCAACAGAAGAATGCTGAAAGCACTGCTGTCGAGTAGTTGCTTCTGCATCACAGTGACCCCTAGGACATAGGAGAACTGCCCCTTACTTAGGGTTCTGAGACTGCTCAGTTTTTCAAGAGCAGGCTGCCTCCTCTTCAGAATGGTGGGTAGCTTTGAACCACTAATTCTGTGATTAGCAGTTCAACACTTAACCCAGCACACCACAAGGACTCTGTTTAAAACAGAATCCAACCAAACCAATCGACTTGATTTTGGCTCATAGCGACCCTGTAGGGCAGAGTAAAACAGTTCCTTTGGTTTCCAAGATTGTGAATCTTTATGGAAACTGACAGCCTCTTCTTGCTCCCTTTGAGTGCCCAGTGCATCACCTGCCACACCACCAGGGCTCCTTTTAAGACAGGTTAGTGAGCACTGAGTATCTTTTGTAACTTGTTTCACTCACTCCTCTTTTGAGTTTATGTCTGTCCCAGGTAGTGGCTATGGGTTGAGGAATAAAAGATCCCTCCCTCTCTTTCTCACTCCTCTTAGTTGACACAGGGGCGGACAGGAGGTACAAGAGGGGACATCTTCTCCTGTTCATACCCTTTTTTGAGTAGACTACAAAATTTTTAGTAGAAAACCTAAAAACAGCATGACATCTCTGCTTATAAATGATCAAACGCAAACAGAATTTGAAGTCGAATTTTATTATTTCTGCTCTTTTCAGTATACAGGCAGCCACGAGGTTACGAATGGCTTAAGGACAGCTCCTGCTGGCCCTTTACTGCAGGGCTTTGAACTGGCTCTGTCCTGGTGAAACAGGAACAGATCTGACTTAGTACATTTGGGGTAATTCATTGAGGTTTCTACAACACTGGGCGAAGCCCTGGAGTGGGAGATCTGGGAGCGATATAGTGAGTCCTGGCATGGGAGATTGGATTGTTGCCAGGATATGGAGACTGACACCTTTGAGTGGGGTGCTGGCTATGTGGAAGTCCTGCTTTAATACTATGTAGATCGGTCCTCATTTTGAACCAACCCTTACTTGAAGCACGTTCTTCAACACGATCATCTTCACAGCTGCATGTGCAGTTTTTAAGTCATTGAGCACTAAGCCCTCAAAACAAAACAAACTGGCTGCCGTTGAGTCAGCTCCGAGCGCTAAACCTCCATAGGGTCTCCAAGGTTGCAAGTCTGTGGGAATAGACAGCCTCATGTTCCCACCATTGAACTGCTGTTGGGTTTGAACCGCCGATCACATGTGGTTAAGAAGCCCATTTCTGTTCTGACAGTGCCAGTAGGGTTAAAGTGAGGCTGGTGAAGAACCATACATACTTCTTCTGACTAACTCACAAATTCCTTAAGAAACGGGTACAAATCTCGTTCATAAGCGGGGGTCTGCCTGAACTTTGCTTTTCAGTTTATTAATGGATTAATCCAGTTGCTAAGCACAGATAGAATTGCTTATAAAAGCTCCTTATTCCCTCCAGCTTTGAGCGTTCACTGCTCCACCCAGGCCCTCTGGAATCACCAGAGTTGGTGCTGGCTGTCAAATCCTGAAGTGCTGCTTGGATGGGAAGGTGGTGAGGGTGATGGGAGTTTAATTCTTGACTTTCTCTAAATATAATGTCAGTGCCATAGAAGTTCAGTGGGGGTGAATGAGCTTTAATCCATATTTACAGTAATCAGCAGTAGCTAAATTGGAGTGCCTTTTCTCGGAACTGCCTTAACATGGGCCTAGAAGGGCAGTATCAGTCTTACAGTATCATTCATGTATTTGGCCACACAGATACCTTCAGATCTTCTGGATAAAGAATTCCTGCCTATCCTGCAAGAGGAGCCCCTGCCGCCCTTGGCTCTTGTACCCTTTACAGAAGAAGAACAGGTTTGTGCCCAGTGTTGATCCTCAGCCCAAGCCCTTGCACCTTTTTACTAAGACATGAGATTGGGAAGCTGCTTCTTAGGCCCTGAGGAGTTTTGTCTGTCCCCAGAGGCCTGTGCCTCTCTGAACCAACTTCTCTTCATTTTCTAAAGCTTATTACTATTTTTTTAAATATTGGGTCAAATATGTATGTAACAAAACAATTTGGCTACTCCAGTATTCTTCACGTGTTCTTAGCATACCTACATGTATCATGTTGTTTAACCATCACCTCTATTTGCTCTCATTTTCCCCCCACTCCCTTATCAGAAGTTCAGTATCCCCTAAGCAATGAACCTCCCTTTTTGCTTCATGCCTACTCTTGGGAACTGCAGATAAACTGTGGTCTGCATGCATCTGGCTGTTCTAGATCCCTTATCTAGATAGGGTCATACAATATTTATCCTTTTGTGTCTGACTTTTTTTTTTACTTATTTTTTTAGGTTCATCTCGATCACAGCACTGATGATCTCAGCTTCATTTCTTTTTATGGCTGAGTAGTAGTTCATTGTATTTGGTTTAGTTTATCCATTTATTTATTGATGAATTTTGGTTAAACATATGGTTTGATGCTATCTTTCTATTTATTGATGGTCACCTGGGTTATTCCCACTGTGTGACTGCAGTGACTAGTGCTGCGGTGAATATCAGTTACAAGTGTCAGTGTGAGTCCCTGTTTACAAGTCTTTGTCTACTTAGGAGTGGAATAACCTTTTTTTCTTGGTGTGTGGTGGCTTCCTCTTTAGTGGATTAGATTCTGCTTTAGTGACTGAGGCTGTTGAGTGCTTTGTGGAGATAAAGAAATGTTTTTAGATTCTGAAGGACCACTGGAATCAACTCTAATAACTGTCAGGGTGATGGGTATGGGGGAGGAGTATTTATCAGGAGAATGTAGTTTTTCAGAAGTAACTGCCAACCTCCATGTTCACCATTGTACTGTCACACTGAGCTGACTCAAGAAACATTTAGCTCTTCAGTTCACACTGTATCTCAGACTCCTCTGTTGCTCATGGTTTTGTGAGCGAGCTGGTGGACTTGGGGCATTGCTCTTGATGGTGTGCTGTGTCAGTGTGAAGACGATTTTTTCCTTATCATTTTATTGGGCAGTGTGAAGATGACTTTGAGGAGCTTTGGTGATTGTAGTAAAATGGACAAACAAGAACTTTGTTGGAACATTGAAATGGATGCTAATTGAAGCATTAATTAAAAAAAATGCAAACCTTTATGGAGACAGAATTCACAGCTCATGTAATTTACCTGTTTGAAGTGCTCAGTTCAGTGGTCTTTTCAGTACATTCCCAGAGTTCTATAACCAACACCACTATCGAAATCCAGAACTTTTTCAGATTTGTTTGTGACAACCCTTGCTGTTTCCTCTGCACTCCTGTGTATTTTGTACGGGGAAACTACGGCATTGAGAAGCAAGTTTATTGAGAGAACTCTCATCAACATACTTTAAAAGATGATATTTTGTTTGCGACTTCCTTCTCCATCAGATTGGTTTCATTTTGATTCAGGAAACCTGCTGATCTTCCAACATCATCAGCACTGCTATTTGCAGTGACTAAATGGTGTTGATTGTTGTAACGAAGGGGTCTGGTCTCCAGTGATGGCTGAAGAGTTCTTGCCAAGTTACCAAGTTAGCATCTCACTATATTTTTGTTTAATTTCCACTAAAAAAAAAGTGAAGGAAACTACTCTTGGTATTTCTCAAGCTGAAAGAAGAAAAAATCAAGCCTTAAGATGCAACATTTCTGAAGGATTCCATGGGCAAAATATTGAAGGATGCAGGAAAACATCAAAAGAAATTGGAAGGAATCCACAGAGTCACCGTGCCAACAAGAACTGGTTTGCATGCATAAGATCAAGAACTGATGGTTATTGAAGGGCGACATCCAAGCTTCACTGAAGACATTGGTGAAAACTAAGGCTCCAGGAATTGGGCTGTCAGTGGGAATGTTTCACTGCACTGATGCAGTACAGGAGAGCCTACGCCAAGAAATTTGGAGGATAACTACCTGACCAACTGACTGGAAGAAAGCCATATTTGTACCCATTGCAAAGAAAACACAACAGAATGTGGAAACTATCAAACAAATCATCAATATCTCATGAGTAAAATTGGTGATAATTAAGAAATGGTTGCCTCCATATAAAGACAGGGAATGCCAGAAAGTCAGGCCAAGTTAAGAAGCTGTATATGGAACACGGGGTGTTTTGCTGATGCTGATTGATCTTGGCTGTAAGTAGAGAATACCAAAACGATGCTTGTTTTATTGACCATGCAAAAGCATTAGATTGTGTCGGTTCTAACAAGCTATGGATAGCATTGTGAAGAATGGGAATTCCAGAGTGCTTAATTGTGCTCATGTGGCACCTGTACAAAGACGAAGAGGCACTTATTTGATTAGAACAAGAGGATGTGTTTAAAGTCAGGAAAGGTTGCACATCAGGGCTGTACCTTTTTCCAGTACTCACTCAATCAAAGAAATGGGCCTATATGAAGAACGACACATCTGGATTGAAGGGAAGACTCATTAACAACCTTTGAGGTGCAGATGCCACAACCTTGCTTGTTGAAAGCATAGGACTTAAAGTACATACTGATGTACATAAAAGAAAAGACCATAGACTCCAGTGTGGATTACAACTGGTCTAATAAGCACCATCGTGATAGATGGAGAAAATTTGGAAGTTGTCAAGGTTTCATTTGACTTGCAGGTACAGTCAGTGTCTTGGAAGCAGTAGTCACAGAAGAAAGTGACATTGCATTGCTGCAAACGAACTCTTTTTAAGTGCTGAGGATAGAACTAAGGCATGGTAAGTCAGTATTTTCAGTTGCCTCACATTCGGGAAAGCAGGGCAAGGACAAAGGCAGGCAGGCCTGCAAAGTATTAACTTGGTTGAATTATGATGTTGATAAAGGACATTGAGTATACTCCATGGACTGTCAGAGGAACGAACAAGTCCGCCAGGGAAGTAGTGCAGCTAGAACACCCTAAGAAGAGAGGGTAAAATGGGGACCTAATGCCAGGGGTTTGAGTGGAGAGGGAATGTTTTGAGAATGATGAGGGCATATGCTTTACACAATTGATGTGTGTATGGATTGTGATAAGAGTTGTATGAGCCCCTAGTAAATGATTTAAAAAAAAAAAAAGAAGAGAGGGTGGTGAGAATTTGTCTCATGTATCAGGAGGGAGCAGTCGTGGAGAAGGTTATCATGCTTGATAAAGTAGAGGGTCAACAAACAAGAGGAGGACTTCAATGAGATGGACTGACACAGTGGCTCAAACAAACAATTGTGAGGATGGTGTAGTGCTCTGCTGTACACAGAAAGGATTGCTATGACACAGCGTCAGCTTGAGGGTACACAACAACGGAAGCAATTTCCTTCCCAAAAATCAATACACTGCTTCAAATGAGTAGACAACTGTAGGGAATATTGTTGTAAATGCAGATATGTTTACTATGTAAATATGTGCAATCTTAGTATTAGGGCATGTTTTTGTGGGTTGTTTTGCTTGTTTAGCTTTAAGAAGCAAGCATTTACATGCTGTTGAAATTGTCTAGGCTGTACTCCTCCTCACCTCCCCACCCCCCGAGATGGTCATCAATTGGTGTGTTGTGCTCATTCTTGCTTTGTGTTTTCTTTTTTTTTTTTTGCTTTGTGTTTTCATATTTGTGCACTGACATGCAATAGATAGTTTTATAGGGCTTACATAGGTAGGTATGCGTTTTGGGTACTGTAGCATACTGTAGTTTTTGTTAAGCAACTCTTCCCCCTTTAACATTAATTTTTAGATTTGTCAGTTTTGATACATGTAGTTGTAGTTCATCGCTGTTGTCCATTGTGAGAAAATTTCAGTTTCCCCCTCACCTGTTATTGGATTCTTAGGTTGTCTTCAATTTCTGCCATTACAGAGTGTGCTGTGTGGCACACTCACAATGTGTTATACAAGTGGAATTGGCGTGTTTTAGTTCTGTGCATTTTGTAAAACTTTATTGAGCATATTTTCTATCGTTACTTAAGCCTCCCGCCTTCCGAGGTCCCATCTCTAGACAAACTGTCCGCTCTTGGTTTTTCAATTTTGGCTCATTTGGTGGCAGTGGTGGTTGTGGGACTTGTGATTCTCTAGTTCCTAGCGGAGCTGACCGTTTTTGCATATGCTTATGAACCAAGGCAGTTTTTGATTGTCCATGTCGTGAGCCCATTATTCCTTCAAGTAGTTTATCTTGTTGGTTTTAAAATGTCCTTATAGAGTCTTTAAAATCAGTAAAACATTTGAAAAAGACTAGTGTACTTTAAAAAAAAAATTGACAAGAACAAATAATTAACAAATGAGTGTACCCATAGATGTCTAAGAAAGCAGGTCCAGTCTTGTTTTGTCCAAATTTGCAGAGAATTTTTTTCAGTAACAGTACTCAGTGTTGAAAGTATAAGACAATGTTTAAAGTATTTGATCGCTTTTTACGAAAGGTGGGGAATATATTTACATATTTTTCTAGAAAAATAAATGACTGCTAAGCTTCTGCCTTTGGGAAAGGGCTCGTGGTGGCGAGGGCAGGGCTGCCTGGGAGGTCTTCTCTGTCCCCCTCTGCGCCCACCTCATCGTACATGGCCCTAGTCCTGATTGGCTAGTGGGGTGGGAGGGCAGTTTCATGACTGAGTGGTTGGGATTTTGTTCAACTTTCAAGCCTCCCATTCAACCACATCCATCTTGGTTATTTACTATGGTGGTGAGGCCCAAAAAGTTCATCTTACTCCTTTTCTTAGGGAAGCTTCTGATAGAACTATGCTTCATCAGTCGGCTGCTGCCTCAGAGCTTTTTGTGACCCCCATCTCACTCTTGGGAGTTCATTTCCTCGTCATCAGCCAGATGGCAAGGGCCCTCTAAGGCCACATCTCTGACCAGGCGTTTTCTCTCTGCCTGTTGCCCATCTCCTGTAGGTGTTTGCTCCACACAGCAGGTTGTGTTGGTGTGAGCACCGAGCTTCTCAGTCCCTCACAGAACCTAGCGCCGTGCAAAGGCATGGGTGGTCAGTGTGTGGGGTTTGGAATGTCAGCTAAGGCCAGGGCTTGGTATGTCGCGCGGCCATGATGTCATAGTGGATGCCATGTTGTATGTACGTGCAGCGTGGGGTGGGTAGAAGGCATGTGTTTCACCCATTCTTTCTTTCTTTTGGCAGAGAAACTTTTCCATGTCTGTAAATAGTGCCGCTGTCCTGCGGTTGACAGGACGAGGAGGAAGCGGCACGGTGGTGGGAGCTCCTAGAGGTCGAAGTTCCTCACGAGGGCGAGGTGAGCTTCCAGGAGCAGTGTGGTGGTGGAACGAGGAGGAGGAGGAGGAGGAGGAGGAGAGGGGAATCCCCTTTAAGGTATTTTAATGCTTGAAGTTTAAACAAACTGCTCTTTGACATTAGAACAGTGTTCCAAAGATCCTGAACATTTAGTTTCTGAACTGCTTCTCATAGTGGTTGCTCTCTAGCCCTCATCTGGAGCATAAAACCCAAGCCCTCAAAAACAAAACCAAAAACAACCAACTGAAGCCTGTTTGTGGAGTCGATTTCCACTCATCTCAACTTAAGTTCCAGGACTGTCCATGGGAGCAGCCTGCCTCAGCCTTCTCCTGCAGAGTGGTGGGTGGGTCTGAATGCCTGGGCCTTTTGGTTAGCTGCTCAGTGCTTAACCACTGCACAATTGGGCTCCTATCAGCAAACACAGTATCCCAAACCAAACCACTTCCCGGGAATCGATTCTGACTCCTAGCACTGCACAGAATGGCCTCATCGAGTCTCCCAGGCTGAAGTCTGAGCTTTCTCTTGCGGAGTAGCTGGTGGGTTCAAACCAACAACCTTTGGTTCATGTCCTAGACCTTAGGGTGACAGCTGAGGAGCCAAGGGCTCTGCTGTTCAGAGCCAGAAAGGGTCATTCTGGTTATAGAGAAGGGTCACCCTGGCGAGAGATTCGAGCTGGTCCTGTTGAGCACACTCCGCTTCCCCAGGGGCCTGTGCTGTGGGAGCTGGAGCTTCTGGAGAGCCCTGAGTGCTGGGGCACCCCTGCTGTCCCTGGCAGCTCTGTAGCACAGGCGTGGCTCCAGCCAGATAGTGTGTCAGCAGCAAACACTTCTCCATACCCCCACTGGGGGCTTCTCAGGACTCGAGCACAAACGATTACGCGGCATCTTTTACCACAGCGTAGTCTGTTCATCCCTTATACTTGTCTCTCAGAGCAGCTGTGGAGGTGGCAGGCTTGGGGGTCCTCCTGTCACCCCACCCACCCAGATGTCATTCTCATCGATGTAGAGTCTCTCACAGCTTTTTCTCAAGGTCATGATGGACAACTAGAGTAATTGAGGCAGGGCTTTCTAGGGGATTTGTTAACTGGCCTCATCTTGTGGTGAGGTTTCGGAATGTGGACTCAGCGTTCCTGTGACTGGGGAAGAGGCGAATAAAGGCACATCAGGTGTTGTCACCCAGTGCTGTGACTTGGTGGCAAATGGCTTTCCTTTCTGAATGGATTTGTCAGTCTTTAGGAGAGTAGTTTCCAACCAGGGGAGCAGCTAGAATCATCAGTCAAACTGATCAATAAAAACCCTCAGCTCCAGAGCTTTGGGTGGCGAGATTGAAGATGGCTGTACTTGAGAATATCCACCTGCAGTTGGATTTACACACCCAGGGGTAGTACCTGGTGACCTGTGGTACTTAGGACGGATGGTGCCCAGTGCTGGTGGAAGCTGGTGGAAGCAGTGCTGGTGGAAGGGGTTTCCTGGTTTCCTGGTGGGACCAGCAGCCATGAGTAAGAACACCCAGGCAGCGTTGCTCTGTGCTGCTGTGTGGACCCCCAGCGAACTAGACTGTGGGCCTGAAGTGATCCCCAGCGCTGTGTTGCAAATACCTGCTGGTCATCTCAAGCAGGTGTTTTGTTTGCTTTTAAATCTACAAGGAGAAGTAGGTTGATCAGTTTCTCCCTGATTTCTGGTTTCTTGGACAAGAAGGGTTCTCTTTGGGATAGAATCTATTTATGCAGAATTTTGAAAGGGCGTGGATAAAAAAGACATGCCGTGCATTCCCTTCCATTGTTTTTAAGCCCCCCACTTGTAATTGTGGACTTTGTACTGGGGTTTATGGTAGGATCGATCATCTGGAGTCTGAGGTAGTACTTGTTTAAATCACAGCCAGGTAATGAAAATAATGACTACTGTAAATGACTACGTAACGCAGTTTTATTTACCTTTAGAATGCACTCATGTTTATCGATCACTCCCTTTCCTTTCCTTTGGATGTGTATGCCCCAAACTCAGCACTGGGATGTGTAGATACCCAGTTGATCCCCTTCTGTATGTGCAGCAACACCCCCACCCAGGTCACAGGGGTCAGGGTCACGGGAGTTACTTTGGGTCTTGCTTTTGCCCTTCAGCAGAGTCCTGCAGGTGTATTCACATACCACTGCTTCATCTTCGAATGCCGAGCTGTCTACTGGATTGCTTTAAAAAAGCAATTAAAAAAAAAAAGTCAATTCTGGAGGGAGGGACGGGGGAAAAAAGAGGAACTGATATCAAGGGCTCAAATAGAAAGTAAATGTTTAGAAAATGATGATTGATGGCAACATATGTAAAAATATGCTTGGTACAATTGATGTATGGAATATTATAAGAGCTGTAAGATTCTCCAATAAAATGATTAAAATTTAAAAAGTTAATCCTTGATTGATGGGCATTGAGTATCCAACTTTTTTTTCCTTAAATTATATTACACATCTTCCTAGATAATATTTGCACATTTGTGTTTTTGATGAGGTTACATTCTGAGTAGAATTGTGGAGTCACAGATTGATATCCCCTGACAAATTAGTGTCAGGACAAGCTAGTTTAAACGCAAACCACTTGAATCCCAGAGTCTGTACCCTCTCGTCAGCCCTGTGAGATCTGAGTGGAGGAGACCAGCATCCCTGTGTGCTCAGGGACACCTGTCAGCAGGTGCCTCTCACAGGCGGCACCTTGGAGTTGACTCTTATAAGGCACCTCTGCACTGAGGTCAGATCCATGACTTGAAAATTTGTGCTTGACTTTGGTACTTTAACTCTCTCCTTCATAAACCTTCCAAATCAAAATTTCTTTCTCATCAGAAGAAAACAAATCCAGTATAAGCTTTAATTTACAATAATGGTTTATTAACATTTTATTAGAGAAATAGTGACACTGTTGCTTGTTCAGGGATAGGGTTCTTAGAACAGTGTTCTGCTTTGTCATCGTCGTGTCCCACCCCCCCCTGCTATCACTGGTCTCTCCAGGAGGCCCAGAGCCCCCAGATCTGCTTCAGTGCTATCCACAGACGGCCCGCATCGCTGAGGACAGGACTTCTAGTGTCAAGGGCAGACCTTTGAGTAGCATTTTTTTTCTCTCTTCCAGGTCGAGGCCGAGGTGAATGTGGTTTTTACCAAAGAAGTTTTGACGAAGTGGAGGGTGTTTTTGGTCGAGGTGGCGGCAGGGAAATGCACCGCTCGCAGAGCTGGGAGGAAAGGTAAGCAAAGGCTCTGCAGGTCAAACAGTGCTATCTTAGGAGGGACATCTCTCCTTCTGAGACAGGTGGTTTTCATGATGAACCATCAGAGGAGATCCTCCCATAAAGAAAGGAACCATTTGAGACAAGGATGTCAGTGTCTTCGGTGACCACAGCTGGGCAGCTTCCTACAAGGGGACTTCAAAAGTTTGTGGAAAAACTTATATCTTTTAAGTCCATTTTCCCACGAACTTTTTGAAGTTCACGTTCAGGGAGGCATACTCTCATAGTTCAGGAGCCCTGCAGTTCTGCTGCGTGGCCATCAAAGTTAGGGTGGCTTTGAAATCATATAATGACACAGGAGCGCACACTCTAGAAGCAGTCTGTACACCTGTGCAACATATCTCTAATGAGAAAAACCAACAGTCTGGTTTGTTCTCAGGATTTTTAAAAAATTACACATGTATTGGTATAAGTTAACTTTCGGTGAGATAATGGGCGTTTTTGTTTTCAACTTTATGTCTTCTGTATTTTTCCAAATGTTAGACAATCACTGCATTTGGTTTGTAATTGACAAAAGGCAGAAAGACAGGACATTGGGTGCATGGATGAGAAGTCTGCATATGCTGAAGTGTGGCTTGAATCATCTTTTCTCTTTCCTAGGGGTGACAGACGATTTGAAAAGCCAGGACGAAAAGATGTGGGTAAGATTTTCGATTTTGAAATACTTTCATTTGGATTTCATGTCATCTTTAGTTCTAGGTAGACTTAGATCCTAAGATTAATTTAAAAAACAATTCTCTCTCTTTCCTTCACCTCTCCAGTAGATGGGGTTGTAGCATCGCTTGCCTTTAGAATCCCATGGTTATTTGTGGGCTCTAGTTCATGAAAGCAGGGGTGATGATGAATTAAAACCACCAGGAACTGCTTCTTAACTGAAGCTAACTGTGATCTGCACGTTTAACTGGTTAGCTCAGTACAGGAGCTTGGATTGAGTGCTGCTGGCAAAGCCCTCCCTTCAGGTTGTCATATGGACTGTGCTCTCGATCCCGAGCGCTTAGCATAGATAACCCGTTCCTGTTGGTCATGGGATAACATAGGGGACTTGGCATGGCCTGAGAGCCAAGGAGAGAGCACAAATGTTCCTACTTTAGTCATCTATTCATCTGGTCTTTTGACTGCATAATGCGCCCCCCCCCTTCCTGTTTCTGAGAGGAGAACTTTCAAAGTAAGAGATCTATGAGACAAAAGAGTAAGAGATCTACAAGATAAAGAATTTACAGTCCACTGAGTTCAGAGGAGCACAGTAAGGAAAGGGAACGTTAGGGTTTATGGTGAATCGATCAAAGTGTATAATTGTACAATGCTCGTAGATGGGCTTTCTGACTGTTTAAAGTTATTGCTATAGAAACAACCGGTAGTTAATGTCCGGGAGAGAGAAACCCCAATTGATAGTACCACTAGAGCTCTGAAAATGACTAGCTCTACAAATTTTAGATTCTTACAAGTACCCAAAATATTCTCTAGAGCTTGAGTGTCTTGACAAAGGGCAACATTTCTTGTATTTACAAGAAATAGATTTACAGATCGTTAAGGAAAAAAAGTTCTAATAATTAGCATTTCATTCCTTGTTTCCATATAAAACACATTTAAACAGACTCATGATTAATATTTTCAATTCCTCACTCATGGACGTGACATGGGGACAAGTATTTGCCCCTCTGAGGGGAAGGCCATGAACTGTAAATGCAGCCTGAAGCAGCTGGGTGCAGATTGGGGATGGACTTTATTGCCGGTTGACTGTCCTTACCTGTGTGGCTGACCGGGGATGGGCCGGTCCTCCTCTTCTCCCAAGTCTGATTCTATACTTTTCCCAGGGAGCTTGGAGAGACGTGGTGAGGGGCAGTTGAAGTTTACAGCTTAGGGAATCAGAATACTCTGTCTCAGAGGTAACCTAGCACTCAGATTTTTCAGTCTGAGCAGTAAAGTGGAGGTGATTCTGCTTGGAGTGTGTGGGCTCGTTTCATTTATTTATGCTACAAATACTGAGCTTCTGTCATTGGACCAGGCATTACCAGGTACCAGATACACCTTCTCTCTTTCTTTGGGGGACAAGGCTGCTGTGCTGGTCACCTCATCCAGCAGTTTGATGTCGTGATGGAGCTATGGAGTGGCATAGCCGGGACTTGGGATCAGAATTAAGGTGGTCCAAAGTAACCACATGGAATCAGATGGGAGATAAGCAGCAAGAAGGGGTGAGCTTTTGCGTCCATCATCCCAAGTGGACAGACCTCAGAACTGTTTGTAACAGCAGCCTGTGCTACAGCTCGGCACTGACCATGAACTCTGCAGAATGTCTGGCAGCAGCGGCAGTGACCCTGCAGTCCCAGGGGGCCGGGGGGTGGGGGTCACTTTCAAGCACTTGACAACTCAGGTGTTGTGTGCAGTTCTGGGGCAGACCCAGGATCGGGAAATGTGAAACCTTGGGACAAGGACAGCCTTTAAGGAGATGGAGCTGTTTAGATAGGAGACAAGTTTGGGCAGGGCAGAGTGGGAGAAGGGTTCCTGAGGTCAGTATTGGCAAATATTTGCTTAACGATCATGTGGATGATGATCTGAAGGAAGGAAAAGGGCTCATCTGCGGCAGGCTCATTCGCTGTCTGGACGTTAAGATGGTTGCCTTGGGAAAGTGAGTGTCTGGGGAGGAGAACAACGTGGTTTTTAACACTTCTTTTTTAAAAAAATATTTTTATTGGGGGCTCTTACATCTCATCACAATCCATACATTGCTCCAATGTGTCATGCACATTTGCACATACACTGCCATCATTTTTTAAACATTCTCTTCCCACTTGATCCCCTGATATCAGCTCCTCATTTCTTCTCCCTCCCTCCCTCCCCCATCCACCCTCCCTCATGAACCCTTGATAAGTTATAGATTATTTATTCCATATCTAACATCGTCCTCCATCCCTCACCCAATTTTCCGTTACCCATCACCCCTGGGAGGGGACTCTAGGTTGGCCTTGTTAGACCGATCTTTTTAAAAATCATGGTGAAACACACAGAGAAAAATGGTTTGAGAATATTTTTTCTTGTTTGATAAGCATTTATAGCTTTGCACACATTTACATACGCCAGCATTTCCTACATGCTTGTAATGAAAGACTTAATTTCTACACACTCACCCACACGTTTTAATTTCTGCTTTTATTTTTTTTAAAGAACATTTTCTTCTTTTTTTATAATCATTTTATTGGGGTGTCACATAACTAATCACAATCCATCCATCCATCCATTGTTGCCATCATCATTCTCAAAACATTTGCTTTCTACTTGAGCCCTTGGTATTAGCTACTCGTTTTTTAACCTCCCACCTCGTTCCCCTCTCCCTCATGAACCCTGGATTTTACCTCTTGATGCACATTCATTCTATAGTGGTTTGCAATAGATGATTGCAAGACTCTTAATATTATTATTTGTCATTTTCATATTTCATCTTCATTCAAGGAGGGTCGTTTCTTCAGCTCCCTCTTTGAAAAGTAAGGGTCCGAGCCCCTTTTTGAGCAGCCAATATCCATGTGAACTGACAGAATTCTTAACAGAGGACAGTGCTCAGGACAGATGCTCTTCACTAGTTAAGCTAAAACTGTGGTTTGGTTTGAAGAAGCATTGGGGTAATTTTGGCTTAGCGCTTAAAAATGATCTCAGGGTAAGTTTTAAGGGGTTAATTCAGTATCCAAAGCTCCTTCCATAAGGATTCCATGAGAATTTGAATGCTTGCACAATTTGAAGCAGGTACTTAATTTTCTTGCATTGTACAGGTAGAAGTTGTTGAATTGGTGTATGTTCTGTGTAGACTTAAAGAATATCATTTTAGCAAAAGTAAAGTTCTTATCCTTTGACGCTGTATTGAAAAAGCAAGGTCTGGATAACCGAGGTGAGACAAGTGGCTAAGCACATCAAGAAAGCAGTTTCTACTGAAACACCATGGCTGTTTCCAAGTGTCACTCTTCCAGCGTGTATACGCAAGTGTAAGCCGACCTGACTATCAGCCGAGGCACCTAATTTTACCACAAAAACTGCCTAAAAAACGTGCTGAAAAACTCAGCTTATACACGAGTATAGACAGTAAGTTCCTTTTGTTGTATACTTTTTCATAAGCTGATGAATTTATTAACTGCTAATGTTCCCATGTTTACTTTCTCCAAGAATAATCATTCTAAACTACTTTTGGGGGATACTCATGTCCTGATCAGTTATGAGATGTCCCATGGCATTGAATGAAGTACTGTGGGCTCAAGCAGATTTGTTAAACGTAGAGATGGTTCATGTTGTGTCAGTACTTCTGATGTGGAGAGATGGGGTGATGGCAGATATCTGGGTACAGTGGTACACACTGTCTCTGTGACACCTGGCCTCAAGACTTCCTAGGCGGTTTGATGCAATTCTGATTTCTATTCAGTAGGAATTGCTCACTGTGTGGGGGGATCAATTCTTGGGATCACTTACAAGATTCAGTGAGGAAATGATTACTAACAAGAACAGTCCTGGGTGATAACCAGAACGATCCAGCCCTGTGAGAGAGTCATTAGTGAGAGTCATTAGCCCCAGTATGAGAGTCATTAGTCTATTTTGGTGGGAAATACTTTGTAATAGAGCAGTACTTGGTCCTGGGATGGCTGCTGGGCGTCCACATACAAACCCTGACCCTGAGGTTTTGAGTAGCAGCTTGTCTGTCATGCAGTCTGTACTGTTTTCCAGAAGCACTTTTTAAAAAAAAAAATCGTTTTATTGGGAGCTCGTACAACTCTTATCACAATCCATCTATCCATCCATTGTGTGTCAAGCACATTTGTACATTTGTTGCCCTCATCATTCTCAAAATGTTTTCTTTCTGCTTGAGCCCTTGGTATCACTGGAAACACTTTTAAGCTGGTTCCAGGGGGTCTAAGATGTCGTGGCTGCTCTTCCAGCCTGGTGGAGTGCCACCCCCCACTACCCTGCCATTTCTATGCCTCCCCCCGGGGCTCCATTCCCCATGGAGCGCAGAACACAGGGTCCTCAGGATAAGAGAAGGAATTGTAGCCAGAGTTTCCAGAAACCTTTGACCTTCCCCCAGATAAAAGTTAATGGCATTGCTTAATGGCTCTCATCATAAAGCATTGCTCAAACCGCACTAGTGTACCAACTGTTTATGGGAAGTCACATACAGGTTTCAGTGGAGGGTCTGTGTATAACTGTACCCTCTTAGAGGCACAACATGGAATAGACTCAGAAAAACAAGGCGGTGGTGCCTGGTTCCCGCTCTGGGGTGTCGCTGTCTTAGGGGTGTTGAGGCTGGAGTGCTGCGAGTAGAGCTCCGGCTGCACCGTGGGCTCTGGAGACCCAGATTGGACCAGATGCTTGTTGGGCCCCCGTGAGAACTGTGGTCTCTATAAGTGGTGAGAGAGCCATGTCCATCTGAACTCTATGACCTTATTTTTCTCAAATTGGGTGAAGCTTGCTCACTCATTCCTGTTGCCTGGATGTATTACAAGAGTCTTGGGTTGGAAAAAATAATCTGTTGGTCTGGCAAAGGCTTATGATTGCCAATGAATTTCAAGTAGCAAGGGTTCACAATAGTGTTTGGGTTCTTGTCAGACTTCTGCTGCCACCGGCGCAGAGCAGCCAGCCCACAGCTGTCCTGCGTTTGCTTTCCCTTTTGGTCAGAGAGCCGGGGATGACCCTTGCTACAGTGCCCGCTCTTCACAGCTGCTGCCTTTACTCAGCTTGTATTTCTCTAAATGCTGATACTTACCTGTGCCCTCACCATAGGGCAGGCTACTCGACCCCCATCCCACGTCATCCTGGAGAAGGGCAGCTCCAGGCAAGAAGGGCAGGGAGAAATCTTGGGGAACTGATAAGGTGACCTTTTTTGGTTCTTATTTTATGCCTGAGGACAGTTTTATTTTTTTAAATTGAAAAGTATGTAAAGGCTCAATTGACTTAAACTGGGCCAGTAGTTTGGGGTCCAGCTTAGACTTGGGGAGTGAAACATGAAGCTGCAGAAAAGACACCGTTGTTTTGGGGGAGAAGCTCTGGAAAGAAATATGAGCGTTCATCTAGCCCAGCCTCCCACTGGTGAGTAAACACTCACTTTATGTTTATAGAAAAAACTATCTGAAGTTGGAAACAGGAATTTGGATTTGAAGATATTTTGTTGCCTAATTATTTTTTGCTCTATTTGAGCATTTATTTTTCCTTGTGAAATTGTAACTCAAAAAGCCACTTTATGTACAGAAACTTTTCATATATTTGCTATTTATGAATTATTTAGGTCCTCTACGGCTTTCTGTCCCATTGAGTGGGTCACAGGAAGAAAGGGAGAACATGTTTTTCCTTCTCTCTGAGCCATCCAGATGACCAGTTGGTTTTCTAGGTCATTCTTTGATTATTGTGCAGAGTGACACTAAACCAGCTGCAGCATCTCCTCCCCAAGCACCACCAGCCTGCAGATGCTGGCCATGCTGCTGGGGCTCACCATGTGACCATATGCCACAGGTGGAGGAACTTGTATGTGGGGGTGGGGGTGGGGATTTGGGGGCGGGGCATCACATTCAAATGATGTCCTGCCTATGTTTATGCTGCAATATACTGTCTTTCCTGTAAACTTGCATTCTTAGCTGCTGTTCTAGTGTAGTAGTCTGGAGGACTAAATGAAGGCCCTTTGGTTTGAGAAGTAGTCAATTATGAAAGGATGTTCACTGATTAGTGTCAGGAGACGGCATTTGAGGCAAGACCCTGGGTTTTCCCCTGCGAGAGAGTTAGGGTTCATGTTTCCTAGGGTCCAGCTTTGTTAGCCTGCACTGTCCATTTCACCGTTGTTACTGGTCTTGTACTGTCCCCTTATAAATTCACACGTCTGTTTGTCGAGTCGCTTTTAGAGAACACAGGTACAGTCTTCGTAAAATAAGATTTTACACTTCCAGAATGGGTATAGTTAGCTTAGCCTTTTTTTGTGTGGGCACAGACATGATTATCGTGCTGTCATCAGAGAGATGGAATCAGAGTTGAGGGGAAAAGCTATGATGAAGCAAAGGTAGCTGTATAACTAGCAGGGTATGTTTAATACAGTACAAAAGAAGGGTGTTCTGGGCAAGTCTTACTCTGTCAGCCCTGTTTCAGAGATCTGAAAATTGTCAATGTTTTGTCCATTGATATGGATGTCCAGGTCAGTCCTGTTTGGGCTCTTAGAGACCAGAGGAGTTGGAAGTTGAGGGATTGTCTTGTCAAAATTCTCCATCTTGATTTGATATTCACCTTTGGAACCTCGGGTCAACAGAGATGCGAAACAGTGGTGTAACAAGATCTCTGAGGGCAGGTAGGATGTCCTCCGCTGGCAGGTTTCACCTGTGCCTTCCTGCATTGCCGAAAGGAAGACAACCAGCTCAAAGTGGGGAGGGTTCTCATGCTGGAGCAGTGTGGCCAGAGGGCTGGATGGCGTGATGGAGTGATGGTAGGCGAGAGGAAAAATGAAGAAGGGACATTCCTCGGAGCTGATGCCGTCGAGGTGGAAATCCACACTGGTCTGGTAGAGGTCTCCATTGTCTCGTTCCTGGTAGAGGACAGCGGAGACCCGCACGCTGGTGAGAGGGCTAGGTCGAATGTTGGCCACTTGGAAAATCAGATTGGGCTTGCCATCTATGTGAGCTACTACTGCTAAGTCAGTAAAGCGAATTGAGAAGGCTCGATTTTTCGGTCGGGCAATCTTCGCCACAAAAGCACCTAAATTAGAAACCATGGAATTTTTTTTAGAACATTGACCATACATAGCAACACTTTTTCCTGAATGAGAAGGGTGTATTAAATATTTAAGCATTTCTTACGTGCCACAACTGACCCTAGATGAACGAGGAATTGAAGGAATGTTTTGTTAATTGGGGCTATCTCATTTGCCTGGCTAATTTTTCAAAGCGTATGTACATTTTTACTTTTAAGAGCTGTGACATGGAAATGTGAAACCAGACCCTCTAGTTTCTTCCAGAGTCAAAGCGGTGGTGATCTCCTATATCCCTATTTATGCTGCCTCGTGGCCTTACCCCCACACCCGCAATCCCCACACCCCCAAGGTATTAGAAAAGACACAACGATGGGTTACAACCAGATTACTGCAAGCTGCCCTTGGGACTAGGTGCTGAGCAGAAGGCTTTGGGGTGCGGAGGGTGCTAGTAGAAAGAATGATCAAGAATAATTTCACTTTGAATTTCACTCTTAAGTAAATCTCACTCTTCATAATTTCACTCTTAAGTAAATCTCACTCTTCATAATTTCACTCTTAAGTAAACTGACTTGAAAGAAAGTGGTGGCTCCATAAGGTATGCCCTCAAGTGTATCTTCCCTGTGCCCCAAACTACAGATGCTCAAACTCAAACCTACTGCTATCAGGTCACTTCTGAGGTACATCAACCCTAATAGGGGGTTTCCAAAGCTGTAAATCTTTACAGAGCAAACAGCCTCATCTTCATACCTCAGCAACTGGCGGGTTTGAACCGCCAACTTTGCGGTTACTTAGCAGTACCACAAGGGCTCCTTGAACTACACCTCAGGGATTTGGATTATTTTTATCTCCCAGATATTGTTGACAGGCTGGAGAGGCCAGTGGCCCTTTAATAAGAATTGCATTTTAAAGGAATAAAAAGGACATGGATTGGATTAAAAGGAAACTAAAATATAATGAAATCCCGCAGAGCATTTAGACATATTTTATAAGTTGTCTTTATGTTTCCTTAATACGTTTAACCCCACCATCCAGTAGCAAGTTTAATGCTGTGTGACTTTGAAGCATCCTAGCATACTATGAAAATATCTGTGATTTGTATTTGTATCAGACTGATGGAAATGGGCTGATGAGCTGGTTTCTGTTGCCTGAATTCAGACTCACAGGAAATGCCAAATTTCAGGTAGGACACTGAAATAGGATGTATGTTCTTCCATCCAAATTTACCAACCCCCGCCCCCCACCCCCGCTTGCCTTTTGACCCTGAACTGACCTAGTTTCAGGACACTTGTTCCAGAAGTTGGGTGGTTTCTTATAGGTTGTAGAACCAGTCGGAGTTGGGAGCACCCCCGGTCCTGATGCCTGAGCACCGCTCCCCACCCCCACCCCCATTATGACCCAGTGCATATCCTCCTCGATTACTGCTGGGGAGTATGTTAAAATCAGGTCTTCTTTTCCTCGGAACAGTTACTATACCTACTTGATTAGGGAAGGAGTCTTGTTACCAGGTTCATGAGCAACACCTCCTTTGTTTATACCCCTGCATACTCCAGTGCTTTTTGTGCAGGCATGTACATGTGCCCAGCTCGTTCTCTGACTGACCCACAGTGCCCACTGAGCGTGGGCTCCACTCAGTGGTTCTGAGTGGATGATGAAGACATACACCCAGAGGAGAAAACTCTAGCACTGGGAAAAACTGACATTTCCCAGTCAAGGCAAGATGACGGTCAAAATAAATTCAGAAATATTGATTCACTTGTTTCATCACATGCTTAACTCTTCCTTAAGTTCCAATAGATGAAATTTAAGCATATGAAGGGACTTCAAAAAGCTCATGAAAAAAAATTGGTGTCTTTAAATTACGTTTCTCCACAAACTTCCTGAAGCCCCTATATATAGTCAGCATCCTTATCATTTCTTCTGGTGTTTGGCTCTAGATTTTCTGTCCCAGGCATTAACCTGCTAATAATGCAAAGAAGATGTTCTGTAACAGAACTGCATACAGCTAACTGTGTCCTTCCCCAAAGACACTCAGTTTTGTGTTTTAAAGAATAGTTACCTGTGATAAATGCCTCCAGCATGAGGCCTAGGAGCATTTGTATGGCCAGTAGGGCGATTGCGCTTGGGCAGTCACCACTGGGGAACATGGTGCCATAACCAATTGTGAGTTGTGTCTCCAGGGAGAAGGAGAAGGCCGCCGTGAAGCTGGTGATATACTTGACACAGATAGTGTGGTTTTCAGGTGGGGCGTCATGATCCAGCTCCAGGTCCCCGTTCATCTCAGCTAGGATGTACCAGAGCACTGCAAAGACAAGCCAGTGGACAACAAAAGAGGCAGAAAAGACCAACATCATCCAGCGCCAACGCATGTCCATCAGGATCCCCCAAGCATCTCGAAGATAGGCCAGGCCTCTTTGGGCGCCATCCATTTGAAGGGTGCTGTGGCCATCCTTGGTGACCATCCTCCGGTATCTCTGAGTGAGGAGAGGGGCAATAGCTTTGCAATTACTGCCATCCATCTTAGGCTGGACTTCTCTGAAAGCAAGAGCAAATTAGTCAGCCCTTCTCTGCCGGAGGTACAGGTAACATGCCTGAGTTCTGAGACCTCTCCTGCTTCTGTGACTACAACTAGAGAAAGGGCCTGCGCACTCAGACAACGTGCTGTCGCCTCCTCTGGGCCGAATAGGGCCAGGGGGTGGTCAGGTTATCCGTGTGCCCACTAATTCTTTGTTACCTCAGTTTACCTCTTGTATGGTTTCCTTGAATCACTCTTTACATAGAGTTTTGACATGATACCATCATGTCCCAAGTCCGATGCCATGTCCCCAAGGATGGGGCTGGCGGTTTGTGCCCATTTGATTGTCACCACTGTATCTTCCCTGCCCAAGCCCAAGCAATCAATTCAGTGTTTATGGATCGGACCAGACAGTATGTGGAAATAACAGAATGCTCGATTGATTTGTGATAAAAGGGAACATGCTAAACAGTGTTTCATAATAAATAAAACCCCAAACCAAACTTATTGCCATGAAGCCAATTGTGATGCATAGTGACCCTTTAGGGGAAGGTAGAACTGCCCCTGTGGTTTTCTAAGACTAGAATTCTTTATGGGAGTAGAAAGCCTTGTTGATAGTTTCAAACTGCTGGCTTTCTAATTAGCAGTCCACTTATTTATCAATAAGTGGGGATCATTTGGAAGCTTCCTGTGAGATTGTAATCCTTTGAAACCCGACTTGGTATCAGACAAGCCCGAGCTGGGCGAAGCTTTCCGAGAACTGTGGTTCTATATGTTGTATAATTAGCCTAGTGAGAGCACACCAGAGAGGTCTATGATGTAAGTTTATTGGGTTTGGTTACTTGGGCCATTTTCTTGGCATCCTACCTTCCTGGCTGACGGGTGGCTGGCCCTCTTGTGATACTGTAGCCTCTGAGCATTATCACAAGGGCTGAGGAGAGATGGCTTTCTCTGCACCCTGAGAAATCCTAGGTAGACATTCCTAGTAAATAAAGTAGAAGAAGCTTGAGGAGTGTAGTGAACTTAAGGAGTGTAGTGTAGTGAATTTGAGTGTAGTGAAAAAATTAGGAAGACATCAAATGGCAAAATGTAAAAGAGAATCATTAGTTTTTGAGCTGTGAGCAGTTCTTATGTGTGCGTATCCCTTCCTCAATGGTGAGCAGAAATCTATCTGTGTGCCTTGGACAAAGGTCTCCTAAGACTTATGTGCAGTGGTTCCCCAGAATGGGGACAAATGGTGGCTCTCCAGAATGGGGACAAATGGTGGCTCTCCAGAATGGGGACAAATGGTGGCTCTCCAGGCTATTGCTGCTTCTTTGCCGTAACCCTCCCCTTGGGTTTCATATTTGAATCCTTTCCCTCCCTCTCCAGAGCTAGGTGCACCGGGGAGTGCCGCAGCCCCCTTTGTACCCCTGAGTGACATGTAGGAAGGAGGAAGGACATGTGGAACTGGTTGCTGGCCAGGGTATGTTGGGCCCTCCTGTGTGTCAGGGCGGACGTTGGGGCTCTGAAGACCGCCATGTGTTTGCTGTGGAGTTGGACATGGACCAGCTGGATATTTGCAGTTTCCCCTTTGGGCCAGAGGCTATTTTAAACATTTATAGTATTAGAGACGTTCTCTTGTATTTTCTTTAAGTTGGAGCTTCTGAGGGGACATTGGCATGGTTGCTAAAATGAGTTAGGTTGGACTTTTAGAAATAGCTGTTTCATTTTACAGAACTTTGGGAAAAATAACTTTAGCACATTGATGTCTTAATAGTTATAATAAGTAATTATAATTTTATTTAGTTTTTTCCTCTTAGCATAGGTATTTAATTATGCTTATTTTGCTACCTGACTTAAATGGTTTAGGAGATTGGATGTCTGCCCTGTGGAAAGTAATAATAAAACCTTCATAGGCCCTGTACAAGGGTGCTGTCTTAACACATCCTCTCTAATTCTTTGGGATGTCAGTGCCATAGCCAGTATCCCTGTTTTTCAGGTGAAGTCACTGAGGCTCCAAGAGAGAGACGTGCAGGGCAAAAGGAGGCAGGATTTGGATTATCGTCCAGGTTTGACTGAACTCAAAGCCAGATGCTTTTGTTTTAACTGCAGAAAGCTGGCTATTCAGTTTGGTGAAATAAAAATTCTTCCTAAAATGATTGGGTTGCAGTCACAAGATGGCCCTTTGACAGCCAGCTTTTTAGTAAGTAAATAGTTGTCTTTGCCTTTCTAAATGTCATAGCTAGTCTAAAACATGGCTAACCTGCATCTAACCTGCATCGTTCTTAATGCACAGCAGCTACAATGAATGTAATTAGTGGCTATCTACTGCTTAGTTACCATATACCAGGAACAGACTAACGTGTGCACTTACGTGATGCTCAGAGCAAGCTCGACTTAAGTGTTGGTGGTTGCTTTATTGTTATGAAAAACACCTCTCCCTTTCTCAGTGAAAATGCCACTATTATCCCATCTTATAGAAGATGAAACCAAGATCACAAAGGCCGTGTGGTGGGGGGGTAGGAATCCCACAGACGCCGAGTGCGCAGAGGCAATGTCGGGTTGCCTCAAAAACAGACATTTGACTCTAGTTAACCTTTATGAAAAACACTATGTTCCGTTTGACTAGTTTTGTTCAAAAGCCACTACAGAATATGTGGTCTTTAATTATGCTTGTGAGATTCAGACCTATGATATGATACGCAGCATATTTTCAGTTAAGGAAGACTTCTTTCAAGATTTGTAGATTAGTACAGTCACAAGTACTGCACACTCTGGTATTTTAGATTCTCCAGACCAGTAGACTTAAGAGCAAACTGTGGAGAGGCGAGTTCTTACACAGCGGTGCCAACTATGCATTTTGCCAGGTGAGGAGGCACTTTTGAAACATACTACTACCACCATCACCACCATTTTATGAAAGAAAGGACATTTTCCCCTTTGAGGAAGAGGACGGGCACATCCACAAAAGGGGAGTTTGGCTCTACCGTGTGTAGCCGACTGCTTGGTCCGCCCTTCAAGGTCTTGCCTCCTGCTTGTCAGAAAGGGCCCCACGGGCCTGCCCCTTGGCGCAGTGCTGCTCCCCGGAGCCACTGTCCTGGGGCTGCTTCCCACCTCATCTTAACTGCGGGGTGGGGGGCGGGCGGGCGGGCAGGGAGGTGCCATGATTCTTCTAGATTTTTAAAATCTGCCGTAGGTAATAATATCTAAAATTCATTAACCTGGAGAGAGTCTTTCTGTATATACTACAACTCACAAGATTAAGTTCTCCCATTTGGACTCGTTCACTTGTTACCTACAACCTTTATAGCTGTCTTATGCTAGGTCTCGTGCAAGGAAATTACCTGGAGAAATCTGTGAACAGGAAAGTCAGAAGATTAAAACAAAGCAGTGAAACAATCTCTTTTTTTAATGTAAGACTTTGCTAGCTTTTGTTTAGACTGTCTTGGGAAGTAGTGGAGGGAAGTAAGATTCTGATCCCCGCTTAAGAGATTACTCTGAATAACTCCATTCTTTGAACTCATGTAGTTAGTGTGGTTTACACAGAGGACGCAGGAGGGGAGTCTTAACCATCTCTGTGCTTGGGTAGCTATATGTCATTTGGCAAGTCACCCAATACTCTTGGCCAGGCTTCCTTGTATTTAAAAAGAAGAGAAAGAAAGAATTAAAGAGCACAATCTTCTACAGTTCTTTAAGTTTTCAAACTTACTTACAGTTTCCTCAACTGATAGGTACAGTAGCCTGATAGGATTTCTTTATTTATATATTTACACACACACCCCCTTCTCATGTTGATTGGTTTTATTTTATTATTATTTTTAATCATTTTATTGGGGGGAGATTAGTTTTATTTTTAAGTTAGATTATGGTTGCCTGTTACCTGTAGTACCTTTCTATCACATTTAAAAAGTGTCTGAAGGGCAGGCGTTATGCTCTTATATATCCGAGCTGTTTTCAGATCCCTATGGACATAGTGCTTTTTGAGGATAGCAGTTGCCTTGGTTAGTGTTGATAGGATTTTTATCAGCCAATTCCAATAGAAAGTAGAATGGGAACTTGATAAGGTTTCTCATATCCATGTGGGGGGGCTGTAAAATATTTGCCGGTTCTTCCACACATAAACGCTGAAGACGAATGTGTGCATAAGTAAGTGTGGTGAAGAAGGCTGATGGTGCCCGGCTATTGAGACCTATAGCGTCTGGGGACTTAAAGGCTTGAAAGTAAACGAGCGGCCATCTAGCCCAGAAGCAACAAAGCCCACATGGAAGCAGCACTCCAACATGTGTGATCATGAAGGGCCAAAGGGACCAGGCTTTAAACACCAAAGGTGGGGAGGGGGAATCATATCCTCGTCAATGAGGGTGGCGCGTGATGGAGACCCAATGCCCATCTCTAGACAACTGGACATACCTTGCAGAGGGGTAGTGGGGAGATGAGTCACTTAGGGTACAGTATAGCAATAATGAAACCCACAACCTTCCTCTAGTTCTTAAACGCTTCCTCCCCTCAACTACCAGGACCCCAATTTTGCCTTGCAGACCTGGTTAGACCAGATGATGCACAGCGGTACAGATGGGAATTGGAAACGCAGGGAATCTCTCAGGACCAGGGGTGACAGTGGCGATACCAGGAGGGAAAGGGGGAATGGATCACAGGGAGCTACATATAACTTCCTCTCTGGGGGACGGGCAGCAGAAGGGTGGGTGAAGGGAGACGCCGGACAGTGTAATATAAGATACAATAATAATTTATAAACTATTAAGGGTGCATGGGGGAGAGGGGAGGAGGAAGGGAAGGGGAGGGGGAAAAAAAGGAAAATGAGCTGATTCCGGGAACCCAAGAGGTAAGTGAATTTTGGGAATAATGAGGGCAACAAATGTATAGATGTGGTTTACACAATTGATCTATGGGGTATGTATTGTGATGAATTGTATGAGCACCAATAAATTGATTAAAAAAAAAGATACAAAATAATAATAATATATAACAGATCAAGGATTCACGAGGGTGGGAGGATGGGGGAGGGAGGGGGGGAAGAGGACCTTATACACGGGCTCAAGTAGAAAATGTTTTGGAAATGATGATGGCAACATATGTACAAATATGCTTGATACAATTGATGTATGGAGCTGTAAGAGCCCCCAATAAAATGATTTAACAAAACAAACAAAAATATTTGCCGGTTCATAAACTATTTGGTGAAAGAAAGTAGTGCTTTATAAAGATGAGAGTTTGGCTCCCTCCTTGGTCATCAGAACAGTAGATTCATCCTACTTAGATTGTCGCGCTCCCCAGGCTGTCTGTCCTTTTGCTGTGTTGGGAAGTAGCACTGTAGTTCCTAGTCAACAGGACACACAGGCTGTAAAGACAGTGCTGTGCACAATAGAGTGTTCCCATGCCTTTGTCCCCATCTGCTTTTAACACCGAAGTCTTCAGATCCTCTCACTGCCCTACATAAACGAGGTCAAGCAATCGGAGTTATAACTCTTACGTAAGCCCAGAGACTTTTCTTGTTTTACATTTCACTTTTTTATTTGTAGAAGCATCTACTAATTTTAGTAGTAATTCCCCATTTAAGCGGAATTCAAAATGAAGATACTCATTGTTATTCCATTATTAAGAAAAACAAAAACAAAATGATGTATTTTTTGTCATTTGTTTTCGTATGCTCATTTACAATTTCTTTTGTACTTTGCAAAAGAAGGCACTTTTTTTTAAGTCTCTGACTTTTAAATTTTATTTTTTTATGTGGCCTTTCTGTTCTACTTATTTCTATGCTATAATGGATTGAGAAGAGAATTTCCAGTAACTTTTTTTTAAGTAGCACTATTGCCATTCCATTTCTAAAATTTAGGGAATGAGAATAAAGAACTGTAATAGAGATCCTGGTAGAAACTGAAGAACTAGCTCTGTCTTCACTTGCCAACCCATGTCTTTCCCGGCTCCCTTTAAGAACAGAAAGCAGAACGAGTATGGTTTCCTGTACTCACCAGTTCTTTTGATGGGTGAGCCTGAGTGCAAAGGTAGGTCTTGAGGAAACCGGCCCAGGATGTCTTTTTGCTCAGGTAACTCTAATCTCCCAGTGCTTTGTAGGTTCTCTCCTTGGACTGGGTTTACAGTTCACATTCCTCTGTTTATAATGTCGTGGGGGCTGGTTTCCGCTGAAGCTGATGTGATTGGTCACTCGGTCTGCAGGGGGGCCAATTAGCTCTGATCATGTGGAAAAGAATGCTGGTTTGTTAGGAGGGCTTTCTTTACCCAACACAAACCCTAACAACTCTGGAGAAAGCCTCCAGAGCTGACTTGGAGCAGGGGTGCATTTTTTCCCTCTAATCAGGACCGGTCTTTAGTAAGTTTGCATAATCTTCCTTAAGAGTCTATTTGACAGTTCAAAGGGATAAAATTCCCTGCAAGATTTCTTTTCAGCCGGCTTTCCTTATATAGCATGTTGAAGTGTGAGAGATTGCCTCTACTAATCTTTTTCTTCCTTTCTCCGTCTCTTTGGGAAAGGCTTATTTGGATGGAGACTTTCAGGCATGAATTATTGAATTGGTTTTTCTAGTTCAATTTTTATAACATGCCTCATCAGAGTGGTTACCATTAATTCCAGAACTAGTGATAGATGTACTGTAATTTAAATACCCGAAGTCTCCCTTTCCCCCTTTATTATTTGCAAAAAAGTAGACTTTTCTTTTTTTCTTTCTTTCTTTACTAGATTCTATCCAAACATGCTGGCATAGGAGTAAGTGTAATTGTTTGTTTGATACCTTGTGCTTCTCTGAAATGAGAGAAAGCGTTTCTTCGACTTGGAGAGTTTACTGAGGGGAAGCATGACACCAGTCCTCAGGTGGAGTGTACAAAGTACAGAAAACTGAACCCCGTTGAGCAGGGACCTATCTTTGAGCCTGCTGGTCATGACCTAGAAGTGAGCGATGGGGCGCCTCTGTATAACGCCTCCCTGAGCAGCATTTCCTCTTCCTTTGCTAGCTGCTGGTGTGCAAACTTTGATCAAATATCACATGTAAGAGGATCTGGGAAACAAAGACTGGGATTGTTGAGGGTAAATCATGGAAGGCCTGCTGGGGAAAGTATTAATGTCGGCCAATATAATGCTACTTAGAACGCAAAATCTGCCTTGTAGGCTCCCTCCCCTGTTGAAAAGTATATTAATTCCTTCTTTGTTTCATTAATGCCAAACATTTCCATACAAGTTGAGACACAGCATTGAACACTTTGACCTTCAGAATCAGGGAAGGTGAAATTTCAAAGGGAACATGTGGCCCAAAGCTAGCCTGCTGCCTGTATGCGCTCACTGGTGATTGGTGGGAATTTTATTGTCTGTCAGTTGTCAGCCGGCTGGTAAAAAGTAAAGCCAGCTGCAGAGCAAGTGTAGTGTAGCATTGCCACAAATTGCTGTCGTTGGCCTGAAGTAACCATCCCTGAGTCAGTGTCAGAGTGACTTGGCAGAGCGATCGATCTCAGTGAAGAACGAAAGGGGCTTGAGGGAAGACGACTTGGGACTTCTGGATCTGGACAGTGTGAGTGCTTGCTGTGGGACTTGGACCAGGAGACCTGCACACCTATAGTCTGGCTGGTGGATGGGAGCGCTGGAGGGCCTGCTCTGCATGCAGTGAAGCATGTGCGCTGCAGCAGCCAGAGACCCAGGCTTTGGAGCTGTCTTCTGGGGCTGAATGACATCAGCATCAGCCCAGATGGCCTGCCCTCTAGACAGAATCCGTGCTTCCTGTTGTAGGGTTTCTGTAGAGGAATTAGAGATGACTCTGGGGCAGGTCTTCTGTGTCACATAAGTGCTAGACACCCAGTCATAGGTCTCTTTCTTTGGCTTTTTTATTTAAAATGATTAAACAGGTCTTAAAATAGGTACCTTTTAAATTTAACTTCATTCCTCAGTCTCTAAAAGGATTTTGTTCTCTTTCTGGCTGAAGAAACAGGGAATATGAAAAGCAAACAAACAAACAAACAAACAAACAAACAAACTCACTCACTACCATTGTTAAGTTGACACCAACTCATAGCGACCCTATATGGCACCCCTAAGTGTATCACAGTACATTTGAAAACATCAGACCTTTCAGTGGGCATGGCATGTCTGGCCTTTGTCCCCACTGACTACCTCCTTCCCTGACCATGTGAGTCCTGATCTCCCTTGCTCTCTCCAGAAGATGGCATGACCTCTCCCAGTGCTGCCTGGGGCTGGCCGCCCACCCAGAGTCTTGCCTGGAGGTGGCAGGCTTGTTGCGGGAGTATGCTCAGGCACAGCACACTGACAGCATACTCAGATCACATGCCGGGCTTTCTCAAGGAGGTTTTGATAAAAGTACAGTCCCTCCAGACTCCCTCCCAGACAGGAACTGCTCTTACGTTAACTGATGGAGCAGACCAGACCTGTTGTGCTTGGGGGCTAGTGAAGAGTTTGGCAGTCCCCACGACCACCTGCCCTCTGACACCAGACTACATATCAGCGTGATCATTCACTTGAACGCTGCACAGAACGCCAAAAGGCAATAACGTCACAGCGAGGCTTTATCCCAGCCAAGGATGCAGACGAGCGCTGGCCTTGGAAGAAAGAGCAGAGCAGAGTTGAGGTCCTGTGAGGCCAGGCTGGCTTCAGGTGGCTCTCTCCTAGCAGAGTTGTGGACAGCTCCTCTCTTCCCACATGTGTTGCCAGTAGGAATCCTACTTGAGCCATGGAGTCCCGATTCCGGGGCCCACAGTTCCAAGTGGCTTGAGTGACCGACCTTCCTCCCCTGCTTCCGACCTTCCTTCCAACCTTTCTCCCCTTGAGAGCAAATTTATACCCGTGACCCAAGCCCGCACATAAAATAAGCCAGAGTGTTGGCATCAATTTTGGCTTCCTCAGTAAGCAAGGCAAGCATGGGATTTTTTGTGCTTACATACAAATCTGTAGTGAACAATTTCACATTGTTTCACCACAGCGCTGTCAGCTTCTCAGTCTGGCGGGCACGTGTCTCTGAACCCTATAGCACCTGCCTTCAGAATCTGAGCCTCTTTTCTGCTATGCAGTCCCTGACAGCAACAGAGTGCCAGTAAGCGAGGTAAGCCTGGGTTTACTTGTGCTTGGTGAAATGCTTTCACCACACTAGGTAGTGAAACCCAGGTGAAAGGGTTCCCTGCAGACTTGTAAATCGGCACTAGCCAGCCCATGCTTCCCTTGTTGGGGATGTGGCTCAGGGGCAAGGGCCAAGCCTCTCTTTGGACTAAATGTGGCCTCTAGTATATAGCTTGGTTAGGGAAGTGGCGAACCTCTGTGGAGCTTGACCGTCCAGTTACCCACCCTAAGTGGCTTGGTTTCCTGGTCATCCTAGGTGGAAAAGGAGAAGTGACTATCAACCCCAGGGTAGGATTCCCTCCCACTACTTTCTGGCTGTGATAGAAAATGCGTTCAGTGTTGATCAGAGACTGTGTATCTGAATAGAGGAGTGCAAAACCACTTGCTAGAAAAATTTGCACATAAACAAGCTTCAAAGTCTGTCCCATAATTCCACTTTTGCTTTTGGCGATTGGGCACTTGTAAGCTCCAAGTCTCACAGCTGTAGATTTTGTTGGCCGAGTGCCTCTCAGCTCCATCTGAAGTTTTCCATAAACACCATTTTTGGCTGGGAGTCAAACATGCACACAGGTGCCCTTCCGTTGCTCTCTCCCCTTAGGAAGTCTGCTCAGTTAGACCCGCCACAGCAGTGCCGCGGCACGAGTCAGTGACTAATGAAGGTTTTGGAGAATCCTGGGCAGACTGAACACATCTGAGCAGAAGCATCGAGGATCTGCTTACATGTGTTTCATATACATCTTTAAGCACTTTTTGCACATCTTTATTTACTGCCGATGCAGGAGTGGAGGGTGCATTATGTAGGTAATATAGTTTGCTCATGAAATAGTACCTTTAGGTACTACCTACATAATGTACCTTCCGTTCATAGAAGAGGAAAAATGCACTTAGAATGTGTGGCTCTTTACCCTTTGGAGGTCAGAGACACCTTTTAAGACTCTGATCAAAGCTTCAGATTCTCTCCCGTGGGTGGAGGGGACATGGTGGCAGGAAGCGTGTCAGCAGAGTATGTATGTATGTGTTCCAACTTTACAGCTTGCTCACAGATAACATGTTCGGAACCCAGTGTAGACAGCAGTATATTAAATGACTCCATGAGATATACTTCTAAGTCATCTTGTGTACAAATTAAGCCAAGACTTGAAGAAAAAGCCAACTGGAATGTTTGGCACTCCAATGTTGGAAAAGAAGGGAAGTCCTTTGAATTTTGATGTTGATGAAGAGTGTGGACTAGCAGAAGACTGAACAGATCTGTCCTGGAAGAGGGAGAGCCACAATGCTATTGAGAAATGAGGATGGCGAGGCTTTATCTCATGGTCTTTGAATGTATTATGAGAAGGGACCAGTCCCTGGAGGACATCATGCTCGATAAAAGTAAGAGAGTCAGCCCCAAAGCGGAAGGCCCTCAAAGAGATGGGTTTGCTAAAGTGGCTGATACAGTGGGCTAGAGCACACGTCATCCTGTGAGGGTGATGCAGGACTAGGTGGTGGTTTGTTCTTTGTACAGAGGGTTGCTGTGAGTCAGAGTGAGTCAGAGTGCGTCAGAATCTACCTGATGGTACCTAACAGCAGCTGTCATGCTGTTGCTGTTACAGAAGCACAGCAGGAAACACACTTTCATTTTGAATGCTGTGTTAGACAGGGTTCTCTAGAGAGATAAAACCAAATTGCTGATAATTCAATATATTTATTTATAAAGATAATTAGATATATAACAAGAAATGAACTGTTAAAGCATATACAGATAAATATGTAATACAAGAAAGAAACAGTTAAATTATAAAGCACTACAACTGGCTCAATTCAACTCACTGCCATGAGAGAGTTGTGAGAGACTAGCAGTCCTTCCAGTCCAGTCTGCTGCCAGATCTTCCTCTATTTATAGAGAGAGCTAGGCTATGTCAGCACAGCAGCCAATCAGAAGGCAGGTCACCAACTGCCAGTCCCCAGCTCCAGCGATCTCTTAAAGGGACCTCAACTTACAGCGACACAGTCCACAGGC